CAGGAATCCTGAGGTGGGCAGACATGAGTTATTAAATGGAGGAAAATTAAAGTAAGCTATTACTGGATTTAAATTTCTGATCACATCAGGCGATTGAAAGGAAAATGTTTTTTCCTGTGGGGTCAATTCGAGGACTGCAGATTTAGGGTCATCCTGTGACTAAGTGAAGCAACAAACTTCCGGAGCAAAAGAAATTTTTCTGGAAAGACTCTGATCTAGAGCCCTAGAGCAGTCACCTGCATGCTCCTCCCTGGTTAGGCTGAAAAAAGAATTAATGGGTTGCACCTGCATGATCTCCTCGGCTCAGTAGTGCAGTAATGCAGTCCCTGCTTGCAAGACCCAGAGGCAGAACATGAGAAAAAGTGAAAGTGTGTGTGCATGTGCATGCATGTGTGTATGTGTTTGTGTGAGCAGGAATTCTGAGTCATTAGGAAAACACATTTCAGCTACCTGACTAGGGATCTGGTATTGGGGTACACCCAAATATTAAGTAATCTCCCAATCTGTAAAGAAATACATAATCCTTCTAGTACCAATTTCAGCATGTCTCCTGTCATTGCATCACTTCTCTCATTATTCCAAGGTATCAACCATTTTTTCTTGTTCTTTATTCGCTCTTGACCAAGCCTCTTTCATAGTCTTTCATGATTTATTCCATACCCCAGATCCCCAGCTCCAGGAGAGACTTAGTTGGCAGTTTGTCAGCTCAGAACTATAGAACACAGTAACAGCACAGAGCCTTAGAGCACTTTGAGTCAACATACAGTGTTAGCTCACAGCACCTTGGTGAGCCAGAAGAAACTAAAGATAACCACCATCAGCTTCAGAAATCACTTCAGTACTTTCATCTTTTGGAGAAACTTATTTTGAATGTTTATCAAACTTAGCACTGAGCATGGCTTATATGAAAATAATGAGAGTTCCCAGAACCCTTCCTTTTTCTCCTCTCCTCCCTCTCCACCATCTGCCTTTCCCTTTTTTCAGGGTCTGTCCAAACTGTTAGATGAGGACCTGGAGCATCCTCTGGTCTCAGAAGAAAGGGACCATGAGCAAGACGACATGTTCCAAACAGGCGCCTTTGATCAGCAAGACGCTGAATTCCAGTGGACCCAAACCACCAGGAACCAGCCCGAGAGCATATCCATGGGTGACAGTGCTGTCCAGAGGTTCTTCAGCAACCTCCTAAGTTTACCCCGTAGATACCAAGGCAGAAGCAAAAAGGGCCTCTCCAGGGGCTGTTTTGGTGTCAAGCTGGACAGAATTGGGTCACTGAGTGGACTGGGATGCTAACTGCTTGCTATGGTAAGAGAAAGTGAGAGGCAGGTGGTCTGTGTGTTCATGTATAACTTGCATAAACGTGCAAAAGAGCAGATTTAATTCAGCGTTAGGAAAATGGCACCTTAAAGTAACTTTTACCCTCCTATCGCAAACACAATTTACTAATATTTACCCTCCTCAGAATTCACTGTTATCAGACGTGTACGTAAAACCCGTGAATGCCACATCTCTGCTTTACCTGCTCTCACTCTGTTCTCCAAGTCAGCTGTATGCACTTCATCTTGTCACAGGAGGCACATCGGAGAGGTTTTCACCATCTCCCCAGGGATGCTCATGTCAATCCAAAGAAACTACGAGCAGAGCAGTGAAGCTGAACCTGGCCCTAGAACAGTAAGAAACCAGTTAATTTCCATGTGCGAAATCCTGTCCGCTTCTCTTTTACTTATTCCTCTGCTTTTTTGGCAGGACTGACTTTAAGGTTTCAAAGGACATGTTGCCTTTCAGTGAGATATTCAGCCTTTGTTCACATTGGCTCCACCAATCCACCCACTACATGATGTACTGAGCAAATTGCATCCCACCTCTCCCCTGAATTACTCGGCCAACAGAATTCACCATTGCTGTACTGCCTATGTGTATCAGAGTAATAATTTGGGATCAGCTATCTGAAATTGAATTCCAAAAAAATGTTTGTACTGTTTGTGTGTTAAATGTATAAATAAACAAGTCTCACTGTCACAGATAATAGATGGTTTTCCACAATTTCATGTATTTTCTTCAAGCCTTTGCTGTGATTCTTTCGTGTATCCATTCCTGAAACTGAAACAGTGCCCCAGTTTGCAGTTAGACACAATCCACTAGAATTCAGAAGCATTTCAGATGGCTGCTTTCTGGTAAAAAGGACTTTTTAGCTGCTCTTAAAAGAGAAGGGAAAAAAAAAAAAAAAAAGAAAGAAGGAGTCAAACAAGCTCTTCTTTTTACCAAAGAACCTTTCTGAAGTTAAGGTATTACTATCTAAACACAAATATAACAGGAACAAGACCGGCATAGCCACCATCACAAGAAAGTCACCAGAAACCAGAACAAAGCCCCAAGTCTTTGACCACCACAACTGAAACTAAAGGGGTGGCTGTCTTAGCTGACATCAGTAGAAAGCTGTTACTCTGTATTGGGATCTACCACTGACAGGAAAACAATTGTTTCTTATTAGTATACCTCATCTTGTCAAAAAAACCCCAAAACTCATTACCCTTCTTTGAAGAAAGTTCAAGGGCACCCTACTCTTCCATAGGCAGATCCAGATATTGCAAAGCATTTTTCCGAAGAAAAAATAAAGTCAAGATTATATAAAAAAATATATCTGACCATTATCTTTTTTAAGCAAAGTATTCACTGGATGTAAATACGAACAAGTTGGAGAACAGCTACTTGGCAAACATCCTGAGACAAATGAATTCTGTATGAAGGCTGGTTTGCCAAGATCATAACTGTGCTGTCCTGATGTTGATGAGAGCTGAACTCTGCAAGCAGCTCCATGGAAATCAGTAAGGCTGCTCACACAAATGTCTACACTGAGGGTCACAAACGAAGGTGCAGCTGTTCACTTCCAGCCTTTTGCTTAGAGTGCACAGATGGGCTACACAGTTGTAGTCCTCCCATTTTCTTGCCCACAAGACAGATGTTCCGGGAAGAAGACATTCTGGTAACAAGCCTATTCCTAACAGGACGCCTGGATATAAACTGCAACATGGAGCACAAACATCTACGCTAAGCAAGCTCATCGGCAATGCTCCAGCTGCGTGTGTGCCTCAGCTCCCATTAAGAAAGCCTGCTTGCACAGAGCAGCTAGAGTTCTAGTTTCTGGGCCTGCCTCAATCAGTTAAACTCTATGATTTGGTTCTGCTCCTTCTAACCACAAGTCCCAGAGAATGAAGGCAATCCAGGACCTGTTGGAGAGCTATTCAGAGCCAAACTAAAGAAAACTTTGTTCTTCTCTCATGCTATTTTCAATATACAGCTTCCACCCTGACGCCACAGACTTGCTCTAGGAAGGACCTCGGTACCACAAACTCATAAACATATGCTTCAACACTTCAGAGCTGACTATCAGAGACCAAAAAGCACAGAATGATTTGTTAATGGAGACACTCTCCCCTTGCACAAGCTACCAACGCCTTCCCTCTCTATTTTCTTGCAATCTTTTACCCTTTCCATCTCTCTCACACATTTAGAAATTACCGTTAATTCTACGTGTCTGTGGCTATTCCATCTTCCAGAACCTTTCTCTCCTCAGACCAGTAGTTACAAGGCTATCCACACAAATCACAAGCAGAAAATTCAACAACATATCCCAAAGACTTCTCTAGTTAACAGTTTTTGTTAGGTCTTACGCTCTTTGCTACTTACCCTGTTTAAGTTAACTTTGATAACAAAGTAGCAGAAACAGTGAAAATGCCCTAAACAGACACTGGCAAGGAATGGTCTCATCACTCACATAGGCACCCCTGAGTACAAGCTCTTGAACAAAGGCATAGTCCATACAATGAATTTACTATACTCTATGCTGCCTTTCCTAAGCAAAGCAACAAGAAAAATGAAGCATTTCACCAGTCAGATGAAGAATTAAAGTGGGGAAGAGAGGATGAAAGAATAAATCCTCTTTCAGCATAATTCACATGTCAATAGATGGACTACACATGTCTTAAAACTAATGCTGTTGTCTGGTCAGTGGGAACAGCTTTTCTAGATGGAGCCCCATAGACTTCACAGTAATTCACAGGTAAATTCTCCTGAAGGTCTGGAGTCTTGTTGGGCCATGCAGATAACACTCTGCCTTGCTGTACCTTCCATTATACAAAGGCCTCTGCCCCGCACAAACACAAGCAAAGAGATTTCTGATTCTTTGTTCTAACTTAACACACCTTCATACAGTCAGGAAGAGATTCTCACTTCTTTTCCCACAATACACAACAACTTACACTACAAAGAAGCAGACATGCTTTCTTGTAGGAGCTTGATAGAAAGCACCCAGCTTTCTTAAATAGAGTCCCTCTTCAGGTATGCTAGCCCCAGGGCTGGCCCAGGTGCAAACTGTATGGTGGAAAGGTTAATCCACACAGCCCATGGTGTCAAACAATGAAAAGCTACTATCTCATGACAGGTGGTGTTAATGGGAAGGTTACAGCCTCCTTCCTAATAATCCTGGGTCCGATAGCTTGCTCCCAACTCTCCATAACCCTAGAGCAGGCACATTCTCATAGGCATAAAAGTTTCCTCATGTTGAAATTTCACTCAAAATCCAACGAAGGGTAAGTGCTACTGGAGTTTGTTTCCTGACCATCCTGAGCCTTTTTCCAAACTCAGTTAAACTAACATAAACTGTGGGTCATTGAAATTATTTGCAGATAAAACAACAGGTCAGAGGAGGTTGAAGACTGAGCTGTGGGTGCTTGTGAACAGAATTCTACAGAAGATGAATAAGAAACAGATAAGAGCTCCAATACCACAGAGGCTGAGCTGGTAATGTGCTGTCCCGTCATCTGACATTTTGCGTGAACATTATTAAAAGCCACATTTCAGAAAGCAAGAACAATTTATTTCACATGAAAGGCTCCATAATTAGATCCCTAGGACTGCAGCCAGGTGTGTTTGTACTTCAGGCAATTTGCTGAGTTCTATTAACATTTAAAAAATCAAAGCTAACCTTTGAAGTTAGTGTGCCAGTCAGATGGGTAAGTTCATCTCTAGCCGTGTCATTTCCATCTTGCTCTAAGCAGCAGCGCACGAATTTACAGACTGGGATTACAGAAGTTCATTCACATATCGTACTTTCAAAACACACACCTCAATTCTCTGCCAGATTCTTCTTTCCTGTGCTGCTTTAAACAAAACCACTTGCCAACTGTTAAGGCTGCTGGATGCAGAGATCATTGTCCCACCCCAGCTGATATTGCTAGTTTGATTCCAATCAAAGCTGAATTATGTCAGCTGTAGGTAGATTTGTGGAACAGAAGGACAAGAAAATGGGGGAAGGAGATGTAAAAACATAATGTATGTTGTTGGTAGTTCATACAGCACCTAGCAATAATAAGTCCACAACAGCTTGGTTCAAAACCCTCTGAACTCAGAGGAAAGGCCTTCTTTGGCTCTGCTGAGCTTCAGGTCAACCTCTGAAATAAGGGCCCAAGCAAAAATCACTGCATATCAAGTGAAAACAGAGAGATTTATGAGTGTACTGGCTAAGCAAACGAGGAGGGCAGAAGGAAGAGACAGTGCAATTGCTTTAATATTACCCTGTCTGCTGCTCTACCCACTGGATATCATGGGTTCTGCCTTTCATTCTGTAAGGATCTAACAGAGTGATCTTGATTTGCATGCCAGGACCAGTGGAAACTGTACTTATTTATAGTTGAAACTCAAAATTCACACAGGAGAGATGCTGAAAGTTTTACTAAAGTTAGTAAGAAACTGCTGTAAAATTCTGAGGCAAAATAAGTGAAAGTTTCATACACACAGGCTGCCTGTTACAGTCCCCAAATTGGTAATGCAGAGACTTTTACCCAGGGAGCCTAAATCCAAAGTTCTACAAAATCTCTTTCTTTGGGGCAAGGCCCCTGGGCTTTCTGGAAAGAACTTTTGTTTCATAGGAATTTCTCACTCCAACCCAAGCTGCAGAGGACAGAACACACCATCATTTATGGGAAAGATGGTGGGATATGAGGATAGGATGGGGACTGATTCACTGCTGTAGCTAGGGCATGACCAGAGAGCAAGTAAAGTTTACAGCAAAGCAGTCAGCTATACCATTGCTCAACGCAGATTTAGGCCACTAAAATGTTAGTGCGTCTTAGCTATAGAGGGAAGGGTTTGCAGACAATGCCAGAGAAAGTCAAGAACCATCATCATATGGACTTGCACAGAAAGAAAATCTCCTAAACTCCTAAACTCAGGACGTGGTCTATTCACATAGCATAAAAATATGTATATAGAGAAGAAAAAGCTGTTGGGAGCTG